TCCGATTTCAATATGAGATTCATCTATTTTATTCTGCTTCCAGTCATTGGTTAGTTGATTTAGTTTAAAAATTACAATGAGCTTTTGAAATTTTCTTTCAGTCATGGCAGATAAAAACAACACTGCTGCTTTTTCCACCGCCCCGCCAGCTGCCCGGGCCGGCCCGTTTGCAACGATTCTTGGTACATAAACATATGATTCTTGGTACATAAACGGATATAACTGAAACTGGCGAGCGGGTTAAAAATTTTTCAAAACCTGGGTAGAAATCTGGGTTTACAAGGTGTTTTCGGTTCCTTGTAAAGCTATTATTTCAGGAATGAGTGAAAATACATATTTTATATCCATCTTGTCAGAATCCCTATTCTTCTAGGATAAGAAGAGTTTAGGATTTTCAGATTTCTTAAAACGACTTATCTGAAAATACGAAGAATTATTCCGTATTTCAAACCACAGAGATTCGTTTTCCATCCGAAAAAATTCTCACAAAAGAGAACATTTTGGGAAGTTGTTTCAAAAAGTGAGTATCAGGAAGTTTAGAAAAGTTACGCCTCTAGTTAGTTTCATATTTTGTTTCTCCCGAGGGAGCAATTCACACAAAAAATGACAGAAAAGGGATTCTGAACACAATTTTTTCTGATGTTCATTCTCTTCGAAAATGAATGGAATCGTCAAGTGATGATATGGCTTTTTTTTTGTCAAAAACAAGATTGAACTATGAATAAATTTAAAGTAGAATAGAGTCGTCCCTGACTCTGAAATAGAAGTCACATGCAACAAAAAAAATAATCTTCTGAACTTCGAATGTTTTTTCTTGGAATTCAGTACGTCTGTCAATCATTAAATGCAATAAAAAAGGGTGAGCAACTACACATGTTCAATTGCAACTAAAAAAACTTTCAGCTAAAAAAATCGTCGAGTAGAAGAGCAAAAAACGGAAAGTGTCTAGTTTTAGGTCTTTGAGAATTTGAAATTCTTATTTCATTTTTTATTCACCGAAACTTTTAGTACGAAAAAGAAAACTTCAATGATCGAGAATCAGGAGAATACAGAATATCTTGGTACTCTCAAGTCCGCATCATTCCGAGTCAACTACTTCGTGTTAGAAGAATTTACATGTACAACTATTTCTCATAACTATTTCTAGAAACATCTGTTTCCGAACACAAATTAATAGCAGAAGAAGACAAAGTAGTCGAAAAAAACACGAGGGGAAAGAAAAAGAAAGTGAGCCCTCCATTGGGATAATTAGGAAAGAAACGAAAAGAGAAGAAATGGATGGAGAACTAGAGAAAGGGGAAGAAGAAGAAGACGAATAAGGTAAACATGGTTAGCAGCTTTTTATGATTCTAGAAGAGAATTCCACAAGGTTTTTTAATCGCCTCCCAGGATTAATCTGGAAAATGGATTTCGAATAGAACACAAAAAATATACGGTTCCGAAGATATCACACTTGGATTTTATTTTGAGTTTTCAGAATTGGCTTAGGGATTGAACACGCGAGTTGCTCTGTCGGATATTATTCTGTTACTGAAAGATCGGTGCTGTTGAAGAGGAACGCCGGAGACCGTTGATGAAGGTCCCACGACGACAACTACAATAATCTAAAAAAGTTTTATTTTCCTTATTTAATTTCTTGTTTTTCATTGCTTTCCTTTAATTTTTTTGTCATTATTCTCAAAAAATTAGAAAAATAATAATTTTGGACAGTGAAACAATTGTTTGACAAAAGAATTGGCTGAAAAATCCCGAAAAATGAGATAATATATTCGGAAAATATAAATGTTTTTAGGTTACTGTATTTATCGTTGTGGTACCTTCTGCGACGCCTACAAGGCTTTATCTTCCACAGCTCCGATTATGGCATACGGACATATAACTGCGAATTATTGGACCAGAAAATGCGTCGATCCTCTTTATTGCCAATATTTTCTGGAGAAGAAAAGGAGCACAATGATAAATGACCGAGTTTCCGCTCTCGGAGGAAATGGATTTTTTGACTAAAATAGGCAATCGGGGGTACTCGATAAAAGTGACTCAGGAAACGCTTTGGTTTCTCCATGAGCAATTTTCGGAAAAGTATAGATTTGAGTTAATAGACACAAAACATTTATTCATACGAAAATCAGTCAGTTCTCCAAATAAATTTCTACTCGAGCCACCAGGAGAATGAATCAGCAGAAGTGTCATCCGGATTGATTTCGCACGTGGCAGAAGTCTGAAGCAACAAGAAAAATACATAATGCATCTCACAATCCTAAATATACCTTGTAGAACATGACCAACTGATTGAGAGAATAATGTTTGCGAACATTTGGATATCCACAATCAACGAAAAAGTGTTGATCCAAAGTTGTACGAATCGAATAGTGACGATTCTTTTTGGTGGTAGTACGGTAAACGAGTATCAATGGAAGCTTTTCAGTGAGAGTATCGAGACGGCCATCTGGGTTTGACAGGTGGTAGAGAGCGAATTCTCCACGATTGGTCAGACGATTCTCCGCTTCAGTGAGTGTAAGAACACCGATGTAAGCAGAAGAAGCTTCACCGATTCTAGAAAATTTATAATTTTTATATATACTTGATGATAAAATCAGAATACTTGAAAGTGTTGTTCGATTGTTCGATGATCGAAATATCGTTTGATTGCGGTGGGGGAGCGGTTGAAGATTGGTTCGCAGAAATTGCTGGTGCAATTTGCTCTTCACTGAAATTTAACGTTAGATTTGAATATTATAATTTTTGAAAGTTCACCTCTTTGGACCAAGCATGATGTAGGATTCAGAATCATTCACAAAAGATGGAATCTTCTTCTTTCTCTTCTCACTTTTCGCCTTCTTCGGTTTCTCATCAAAAGTCATGAAGTTATGCAAACTCATCAACTCTGGTTTGCTACGTGTCTCCGATTTCTTCTCCTCGATTTCAACCAATTTCTTCAGCTTCTCAGTTAATTTCGAAGCGACTTGCTCTTCCTTTTTGGGAGATCCCAAATTGACATATTGGTTTTCGTTGGATTTCCCATCGTGTTGCTTGTTGTAGACACACTTGCTTCCGTGAACACAACACAACACTTCTCCATCCGTCTTTTTGTTCTTCTGAAACAAAAATCTTTTGAATCTTGAACCCAATTGAGTAACGCGATCGTATCCCCACACCAGGGGGCACTTCCCGTATATTTTTCACGATTAACCCCGATTACTGTACTCTGACAAAAACCACTAGGCTCTGGGGAAAACTCGAACCAACGACGGTTGTTTCAAATTCATCCTTGTTAACCACTAGGCTAATCGGGAGCACGTTAGATGAAGTTTCGATGGTTATTATATACTTCACGTTTTCAAAATAAATACTTTTCTTTTTTTTTTCGGAATTTCTGATTGTAAATTCAAATGATTCTTGGGGTAGTTTTTGGAGAAACTGGAAAAACATCGTGTTAAAAAAAACAAGTGTTCAGAAAAAAGAAGGAGAAATTGTTTTTCCTGACTAGGCATTTCATAGTGATTTTTTAATACTTTTAAAGGCTAATTTGAATATTAAAAAAATTATTGGGATAGTTTTTAGAATATTCTAAATGGAAAAATATAGCTTTCATAAATTTGTAAAAATATTCCGGAATCGGTTGAGAGACACATGTTCAATGAACATTCAAAAATGTTTTTATAAAATTGGGAATCGAAAACTTAGAAAACAAACTTCGAGTATTACCAGAAAAGGGAATTTTTTGCATAGATATTCAGAATTTTCTAGGGATTTTTCCACATTTTGTAAATGTCTTTTCAAGCTCTAAGCATAATTTTTAACAGCTGAAGTAACTTCTAAATTGACTTTCAGATGGCTTTGTTTTTAGGTATACATTAATTTAGGGTTCTAAGCTTACTTTTTAAGGACTGAGCCTACTTTCATTTCCGTCAAACCTGTACTAGAAGAACCGGCCCTTCTATTGTTCCAAGGTACCTTCAGAGGGCCCTTCCATTACAGGGGCCTTTCTATTAGAGGGGGCCCTTCTATTTTTCTGGCTAGTTTTTTCCGAAATTTCGCAGTAAAAAAATCGACGAAGTTTCGTTCAAAATTCATGAAAATCTGCCAATTTCACCAAAATTTAGCAAGATTTGCATTGAAAAATAGAATTTCAACAAATTTCTATTGACTTGTGAAGTTCGTGGAATATTTTCCATAGAAAAATTACGGAAGCTTTTATTCCAAAACACATTGAAGAGGGGTCATTTTTCACAGAGGGCCCTTCTATTAGAGGGGCCCTTCTATTAAAGGGGTTCTTCTAATACAGGTCTTACGGAATATTTTTTCTAAGTCTGTTTTTTAAGTGTGTGCGCCGTAAGCCTGCTTTTTAAAGGCTAAGCCTACACTTTAGAAGCTGAAAAAAATATTTAATAGCTGATTTTACTTTTAGGGGCCTTGTTTTTAGTATATCCCGATTTAAGTTGCTATTTTTTTGTATTTAATACTGATTCGACTTTTGGGGCACTTTCTCTCTATCTTTTGAGAGGAATAAATTCCTATAATTCGCATTATGCGAATACTGTGGATCCACGTTTCTCATTTTTTATTGGCTCTTATTTCTTTGAAATGTCACGGAAAAAACTGTGTGAAACAATTTCCTAAAAAAGCTCAGCGTAAAAAGTGCCCCCTGGTGTGTATATACGATTAGGCAATTGAGTATCAACCAACCAATGTCGCATAGATCGTGTTGTAAGGTGTTTTAGTCGTATCGCCTTCCATTTTTCTTGCGTTACCTTTGTCGATTTATTTGAAAATCCAATGCTCGATTCGAGTACTGAAATCTTGAGTGTCTGTCAGTTAGAGTGGTCTGACATCCTTTTTTAGACAGATAGCGAGTTCACGGCGAACTCACATTTTTTCAAAGTTTCCTTACTCAATTCAAAAAACATACTTGAAAATGGAGAGTCTGAAAATCTGAAAATCTGAAAACCTAAATCTCTGAAACTATAAAGTTCTGAAATGTTCAAGTTCGGAAAGTCTAAAAATCTGAAATTTTGAAATCCTGATGTTCTGAAAATCAGAAACTCTAAAGTTATGAAACTCAAAATTTTTGGAATTTTGAAAGTCTAAAAGTTTGAAATTCAGAGACTCCGAGTTTCGGAGATTCTGAAATTCTTGAGTTTAAAATGTTTTTTGTATGATATCCGTTTTTTTTTGGTTTGCTGCAACATGCATTTAAGAAATTGGACTTTTGAAATAGAGAGAAGAAAATTTTTTATTATAATAAGAAAATAAAGTACTCAAAACAAAGAAATTGAAATTCTGAACTTTCGAAATAGATAAGGGAAAGGAAAATGTTCGTAGAATTCCTAAGGATTGTTTTCGTCACACAGAGCTCATACTCTTTTTTTGGAAAATTCCATTCTAATAATAAGGAAAATGAGTGCAGAAAATAAATACCCTAGAAATAGATTAGAAGCTAGGAAGTAATACTTTTTCCTAGTTAGTTCTTCATTTTCTTGGATTTCAAAAGCTGGAAAAGAGCCGGCCCGTTAAAAGTATTGAAGGAGCCTATACGATAACTGGTTTCAATAATACCTCGTATTATTTTCTTGTAATCTCCGAAATTTAACCGATTTGAGAAAAGTTTGTATTGACTTCTCCCTTCTTTTCTATGTGTCATGAGCAGTTTATATTTCATTCCATCTGGGGGAAGTTGCCGATCCAATTCAATTATTTACATATTTGCAAGGGTCCACTAAACAGGAAAAATATAAATAAATTGAATGCTGTTTTCCGGGTATACCCTTGGGTCCGTCTAGAATAGGTGAGAAGAAGATGATGAAGTTAGACACTATAGTTAGAAAAATTAGCCTAGTGATAAGCTATAATTTTTCAGATGTTTTTTCTGAATGCGTGGTATAGGTTCTTTGAATTTTTTGTGACGAAAAATTTATGGTGTAGGTATAGAAGTGTCATTTTCTTTTTCGCTGTACATTTCATAGAGACTTGAATGTGCCAAGTATTCAAGTAAACCGTATACCTTGGAATACCATCCATAGCTTTCAACTTTGAGCCAATTTATCTCGGTTCTAGTGAAAGATATTCAAAAGTTCTTAACTGGCAACATGTTTTTGATATTAAGATTAACATTTTGTTAGTTGACACATATTTAATATCTTTCACAGAAAACGAGATATATGGGCTCAAAATTGACGGTTGGGGGACGTTCTATTAATGTGTTTACGGTAGTTCTCCGTCACTTTTTATACCGATATAAATCTTCTCAACATTCCTAAAAATATCATAATATCTAGTTTGATCTTCCTGTTGTGCTAGTTTTTCAAAACATTTTTCCAAAAAAAAAAACAAAAATCCCCTTGTGACCTAAACTCATCCAACTGTGGAAACCTAGTCTTTGACATTTTTCCTTCACTTCGTGCAGAATTCTTTGTCACAATTAGCGTATCCGTTCATAACCAGAAAAAAAAATAGCTGATATCATATCACCTAACATCACTCCCCGCTCCTGATTTAGATTCAGATTCTTGTGAAATATAAACGTTTTTCCGAGTCTGATCCGATCAAACATACAATCCAATTTACTTCCTGAAAATTGAATTAAATCGATCAACTCTCTCTATAATTCTACGTGCATATCCAGTAGGTGTCAACTTCCAGATTTCGAAAAATAAGAAATCAAACAAATAAGAGATTGAAATCCTTTGAATGATTCATCGCTATTCCCGTGATGTATAATAGCTAATCGAATTGTACCCTTTTTTAATTGATAGACTAAATTTAATAATAGCAGTTCTGAACAAAAACGGTTACACTGATTTCTAATTTTTGCAATTTATACAGTTGTTTTCATAGTCATTTTACTTGAAGCTTAAAATCCTATATTTTCTAAACAACTCCATCTTTTTCAGACAATGGAAACATCCTACCCCTCTTCAACCCTCCCTTCTACATCATCCTCCCCTCTTACCTTTTATAACTCCCTCCCACCATCCAACTACACTCTATTCGATCTTACCGTAACCCCAATGTCATATCGAGACCGAATTACTGTAGAATTTATTTTGAACATATCTTCCTGGCTATTGAGCACTTTTTTGGTGATCTTTGTCAGATTGAAAAAAGCTATTTGGGTGTCGTTAAAAGTGAGATTCCGATTTTTTGTAGACGAATCATAAATTTTTGTTTTTTAGAGTACAATAGTTTTTGTTACCGTTGGCTCTTTCCTTCTAAATATTCCACTTATTCTATTTCAAGCTTGGATGGTCTTCAATTTACAATTTGGTCACGAGCCTGTTTATTCTGTTCTTGTCTGCTCATTTTTCAAGAATTTCTGCAGTTCCACTACCTCTGCATACCAAGTTCTTCCATTTGTAAGTCTTCCACAGCTACAGGTATCTTTGTATCCACGTGATTTCAGGCAGTTTCACTATATCGGTACCGTACTGTTGTGTTGAAAGGACACCCATCGCCATCATTTGTTATCAATGTTCACAGTTTGGTAACTTTCATTTTTGTGAGTTGTTTATGCCTGAATATTCTTTAGTATCGAAATAATTTCCAGATTATTTACGCTTTTCTCAACTATCCACTTGGTCAAAACAATACAAACGATGTCTGTTATATTCTTCGATTTAGCAATGGAATGGAGCTGGTTAGAGTGAGTTTTCGGAATCAAAGTTCCAAAGTAAAACTACCTGTTCCTTGATTTACTGTACTTTTTCTTGGGTTACTTTAGTTCCTTCTGTGGCTACTGTTGCTAATGTATCAGGAACTGCAGGCTGGGTTACTGTTGTGGAATCTTCGGTTACTGTAGCTACCGTATCTGATACTGCATATTGGGTCACTGGAACTCCAGGGGTTACTGTAGTTTCTTCCGTGGTTACTGTAGCCGGTTGAGTTACTGTAGATGTATCTTGGGTTACTGTCGGTAGGGTTACAGTAGGTTGGGTTACTACACTTCCATGGACTACCGTAGTTTCCTCTGTGGTTACTTTAGCCACTGTATTAGGTACTGTAGGTAAGATTACAGTAGTTCCCTCTGTAGCTGGATCTTGGGTTACTGTTATTCTAGCTGTCACTTTTTTGGAGTAAAAAACAATAACCTATTCTTATAGACTATAAGTTAAGGTATAGTACTCAAAACTCATAGTCAGAAGTTTGAAAATTCAAAAAAACTTGGAAATTCGGGAACTCAAACTTTTTGGATATCGAAACATCTAGAAATTCAGAAATTTGGGAATCCATATATTCCTCATTACAGAATTTCAAACCTTTGTAATCTTGAATTGAAAAGTACGGGAAATTCGGAAGATTTGGGAAACTCGAAAATCTTGATTTTCAAAAATCCAAAAAATTCGGGAAATTCAGAATTTTCGTAAACTTCTGAAATAAGGAAGTTTTGAAAATTGAAAAAAAAAACTAGAGATTCGGAACTTTTCGGAATACGGAAATTTCAAAGATTCAAAAATCTTAGAATTCGGTAACCCTGGAACTAAAATATCCAAAAAATTGAAACTTCAGAAATCCGGGAATTCAAGTACTCGACTACCGTAACCTAAAAATAGTCTTATTTTCAGGGTTTGTTTCTCACTGCATTTCGTCGAGTTTTCTAAAAAGTCCTAAAACTAAAAAAAAATCGACTAAAAAAAAATAGAGAAAACAAATCCGAAAATAAAACTTATCTAGGTTACTGTAGTTGTCGCTGTGAGACCTTCGGCCACGGCCACCGGCGTTTTTCTTCCACAGCTCCGATGTTTTTTGTACCAGAATAGTAAAAACGACAAAAATCTCAATTTTTAAGATATTCTCCACACTTCTCTTCAACTTCGCAGCTATCATCGTCAATTGTGTCATTCTTCGATTTGTGAAACACTTTGAAAGTGAGAGCAAAAGTGATTCTGACATCCTTTTCATATGTTTAAAGCGACACTTTTCCCAGATATTCAATCAAAACGAGTTCAATTGACTCAAAGTTTACTCATACAATCGATTATTCCTGTTCTTGTGTCGCTACCTCTTCTTCTTCTATCACTTGAATTTTATTTTGGTAAACATTCAGTCTTATTCAACTCAAATTCCACCTTTTAGGAATCCCAATGCCGGCATCATTCGGTTCTACATGGTATGCTCTAACATTTCTCGGACCATTTCTCATGCCCCTATCATCTATTCTTGGTATTAAAAGCACTAGAAAAGAACTTTTGGATACTATGCTTTGTGGATGTTTTCCTCGACCTTCGGTGGGAAACAATCAGATAAAATCAGCCGTCACTGTGATACTCGCATCCAGGATGGAAAGAAGCACTTTCACAGTTCGGGACGACGATTAGACTGTTATTCTAATTCAATGTTCATAGATAAATGTATGAAGAGATTTAAAACTATGCAAACACAAAAAAAAACTGTAGATGGGTGCTCCTGACAGATTGCAAAATAGGATACGGGGATGAATATACAAAAACACGATTTTTACACATAGTTCGAAATAGAGATAGACAGACGAATGTAAGACTCGGAAATGAAATTAGCACGGTGTACTAAGGAGCTGGGGGACGAACTGCTGGCTTCACAATTAGTTTCCCGTTGTGATCACAACTCAGGCTGAACGGAGAAAGAGCATCACGACAACGACGAGCCACACTGAAATATTTTTTTCATTGTAACAAAAAAAAGTACATAGAATATTGAGAAACGGTGAATCGATCGTAGCATCCAGTTGTTAGAGTCTAAAAGCTTCTCCGAAGGTCCACGATGACAACTAGCGTAACCAAAAATATTTATATATTCAGGATTTATTTTCTAATTTTTTCACTTTTTTTCGTCGAGTTTCCTGCTATTGTATACAATTGTAGGGAATTTGAAAAAAATGACTGAAAACACACGAAAATCGCGACAATAAATGCGGAAAATATACATATTTTTCGGTTACTATAGTCGTCGTTGTGGGTGAATACTTACATAGTTGGTGCCACAATCCGCCGATGGACGCCCAAAACTCCGAATAGAAGAAGAGCAACAATGAAACAGAGGGTGAAATCTAGATGCGTGGTGAATAGCAAATCAGTTATCGTCATTTGTAATTGATCGACTCTCTGAAATAAACTACATATTATGTTGTAGACTGCGCCGAGTAGCTAACCTCATTCGCGAAATACTTTGATCCAGTCACACCGATGATTACAGCAAAAACGACAATGGTAACTGAAAATGAGTAGAGGTTCCATATATTTTTTGCTGAAATGACTCACTCCTCCATCTGGTGCATGTTGGTCCCATATATGTTATGACTTCTGTCAACCGTTTCTCGAAGAACTTTAAATCTGAAAGTTTCAAATTTTTCTGTAATTTCGAATGATTCCGTGTGTCGCACCTTCGCAAGCTGTCGATGGATCCTCTGGCATTCTTCTCGTCGTCATCTCAGATTTGATTTCGTGAAGTTGGATAAAATATTTAAACAAAGTGGTTATAACTCTGTTCTTAAGATGACAGAGAGTTTTATCTGAAAATGTTAGTCGTTTGGAAGAAGAATGAGATGGGCTAGGTGTTAGAAATATGACAGCAGGAAGAAAAACCGATTAAAATCACATAAAGATCAGAAACAACAAAATTGATTTATTCAAGGTGAAATTCCGAAAGAATGATAACTTCAACTCTACAAAAGAGCTGGTGGAAAACAGTCAACAATACAAAACGAAACAAAACAGTAATATCGGAATAGAATAACAATAACTGGAATTAAACAACAAAAAACAGTGGAAGGGTCAGTTTCCGGATCAGGTTTACTTCTGATGCTTGATCTTTCGTCTCTTCTCCAACTTCTTTCTCCACATGTTTGTCTTTTGAGCTCCTGGTTTGGCGAAATCAACAACGCTCTGAAATTGTATTTTTTCTAAACTTCGGTATTGTTCTTTTCAAATACTAACCTTATCCTTCTTTTCAGATGCAGCCTGGACAATAGTCTTTCCAGACAACTTTGCTTTATTAGCTTTTTTTCCTCCTCGCTTGCCACGAGTTCTGACGCTAGCGACGTCGTTCTTCTTTTTGTCTGCGGCATCGCTCGAGGTTGGTTCTTCAGTGACGTCTTCGACTTCTTCGAGATCCTCAGCCAAATCACTGATTCCGGAGAGGTCAGTAAGGCCCGAACAGGTTGATCCGATTTCGGTCATTTCCTCCTCCTCTTCGTCATCAATTGCGTCGTCGTCTTCTGGTCCACCATTCTGAAACTTACATTTTTATATTAGCGATTCGGATAGATTCGCAGTGCGCTCCGTGAGGTGGAGAGCACTACGAACCACTTCTCATTGCTAGTATCTGAATGTTAAAGATAAATTTTCTTACTCTAGCAACATCATCCAACTCCAGCTGTGCATCTGGCGGCAGTTGTTCGTCGTCATCAGCACACTTTTCATTGATTGGGGCTTCTTCGTAGTCCTTCTTGGCTCTTTCCTCACATCCCGGGGGTGGAACAAAATATGGAAGCTTTCCTCTTTGGAACTCATTAAGTACAACCTTAGCGATAGCAACGATATCAGGATCTCCTCCTTTCAAAAGACGACCTTGTTTGATTGCGATTTTGGTCAAGAAATCATCTACGCCAGAAAATTCCGGGATACCATACTGACGGCGAAGATGTTCTGGTTTGCATCGATCGAGAACTCCTTGGATGTGATTTTCCGGGTCTTTAACGTTCTCCACACGAACAACTCCTTTCAGAATGATCTGGGTTTCTGTGTCTCCTTGTGGATAAACGACTCCTGGAGAATCGATCAGATAGATTCTGCGCATCAGCATAACGTATTGCCAGACTTTCGTCTCTCCAGCAATCGGAGCTGTTTTGCAAACTTTCTTCTTGCGAAGAGTGTTGACAAGAGATGACTTTCCGACATTTGGATATCCAATGAAACCAACACTGATTTGAGGGCGGTCTGGGTGGAGTTTGGCGAATTGGCGTAGTAGATTGATGACAGCTCCTTTTCCGAACGAGTTGTTAATGGATGCATGGAATGCAATTGTTGGCATTTCTTTCGAAAGTTCTCCAATCCATTTTCTCTGAGAAAAAGCGAATAAATATTTCGTTTCCAGATAATCAAAACTCACTGTAACCCATGTAGGTACCAAGTCGACCTTGTTGATAACAGTAACAAGATGCTTGTGTGGTTTCTCCTTTCTTAAGAACTCCTCAACGTGGCGACAACGAGTACCCTGAAACAAAGAACAATCGAGGTTCTTTTCCTATACTACTACCCCAATTTAAATAACAATTTTTAAGCAATCTTCTTGAAATGGCAACATTTCAAAGCGGTAGCAGTCAATGATAAGAAACTATGAAGTCGTAAAACCCCGGTACTCTTTCTTCTTTTTGCTTGGCCGCGATTCTTTCGACGACTAGGAACCACACGGAGATAGCGCAAAGGCTTCTCGAGAAGGAGTTTTTAGATTCATCAATATAAAGGTTTTCTCGTCTTTGTTTTTCCCCCATCCTTTTCCTCTCTCGCTTGCTGTTGAAGCAAGACAAAAAGAAGTGTGGAAGAATAGACGGAAAAACTTTCATACGAACGTTATGTGTTTTCTCTAGTGAATTCGTCTTAGTTGACATAGAAAAGACATTCATTTTTGAACGCACTATTATGTTTTCGTACAATTTTTGTAGACTCACCATAGGATCTCTAGCATCGACAACTTGAACGACAACATCCGAAGAGTCGATAACTTTGTACAGCTCTCCCCAAACTCTGTTACTCTGTCCAGCACGGAAAAGAGGATTCTGATTCTCAGGACGATCACCGAGCTCTTTCTCTCTGCTCAAGTCTAGTTCCGGTTTGTATTTGACTTCCCTGTCTTCTGCGCTTCTCGTCATTTCCTAAAAACACGAGAGAAGCTGTAAGAACGGCTCCAGACATAACACAAACCTCCAGAGTGGCATCGTTCAGCTTTGCCTTCTTTCTCAATGCTTTCTTTCCGAAAGTATACTCGAAGCTTTCTGTTTCAGTAACATGCACGCGCTGCGTCTGTAAATCTCCGGTTTTGAGCCCGTCATTTTTGATGGATGATACTGTCAAACCTTAGCTTTTTCTTGAAGGAGACTGATCGGCAACTTGGTTTGCTTCATGACAACTTGGAATGGGTCACTCAGCACCTTTCCCAAATTGGCTTGGAACTTTTGAAGCTGTTCTTGTCCAATGATTCTAGTGTTTCCTGAAATGACGGAAATGTGGTGAGAAACTCTCACGACCTTCAACTTACCGAACCATTTCCGGTTAGGCTCGATTCTCGCTTGTGTACCTGAAGCCAACGTGTCTTGGAATGGAGCTGCTTTCACGATTTTTCCTTTCGAATCACTTTAAGAATATCAATTTTCTTCTGGTAAATACAAAATTTGAGTTTTAGCCTCACATACCGAATTGGCTTAAAGCTTTTGTACATACGAAGACGGTTGATGGTAGCCTTTGATCGTTGACTTTTATCTTTGGAGTCTGCCTTACGATCTGTAATGTTAATTCTGTGAAGTTAACCACCAATTCTCTAGATTACCTGGGTTCATGGAGTGATTAGAACCACGGAAAGTGTGTCTGTTTTTGACCGGTCCATAGTCTGGTTTTTGTTTCAGCTTCTTGCTGACTTTTCCTTCCTTTCTGGCTTTCACCATTTTTATGTTATACCCTGTGAAAATGATATTGAGAAATCGTTTTCGCAAAAATTTCAACGGAGAAGCTGAGGAAAGGGTGAAAGAAACATTTCCAAAAGAGAGGAGCCAAAATGAAACGCAAACAAACCGAGGAAACCATGATTTTTATGATATGTGACAAAAAGCGAGTATCAGAGAAAAAGAGAACGACGAAGCCACTTTTACTAAACATTCATTCTTCTTCGCTTTTCTCTCTAAAATACAACTGGGATTTTTCTGATATATTCTTCTGGTATATCTTAAAAGCATGTTGTCCCATTACAAAGGAACCACCCTAAAACATGTTTCCTGTGATGGCCAGTTAGCAGAGCACTAAAACGTTTCTTTTGGCCAACTATATTTCGTTAGAAGCTAGAAGTCGTTTCGTTGTTGGCTAGTCCATATATTTTGTTTTCCGTCGCCTCCTGACAGACGTCTTCTTTTTCTGTCTTTTGCTTTCGTCCGAAATATGTCACATTTCGTCTCTCATTGGCTCCCGGCTCCTCCGACTTTCCCTCACGTTCTTTTGCGCGGGGAATACTATGTTGTACTTAGTCGTCTCTCACTCCCATTTCCTTGTTCGCCGAGCCAATGAGTCAAGTCTTATGCAAATATTTGGATAAGGTGGCCGAAATCGTGAAATCAATATTTTGGACCGAAAAATTAGTCGACTCGCTAAACTACCTCTGTAGTTATTTTTTCCGACTTTGCTCATTGACTTCCACCGCTCAACCGAACAATTAATATTTTACATCACGGTAAATTTTTCACTACCGCTGCTTCAACTTTGGAATTTTTTCTCGAATTCTAGTCCATAACTTTTTTTTTCTGTTCCATAAATGTTTAGTAAATTTTATGAAGAATATATAGTAAAAAAAATGAATCAGATTTTTTTTTCCGTTGTACTTTCAAACGTCGCAGACTGTTTCGCATTCGGTAGTGAAAAACTCACCGTGTTTACATGCATAGAAGCAGAAAGAAACCACCACAAAGTCCTACTTTATTAATCGACGACGCTGGCAACTTCTAACTTTTTTGCTCATCCCTGTTCAGCAAGGCTCATTATTTTTGCAAGACAAAAATAGTGATCTCAGCCTACGCATTTGCAATTCAATCAAACCTGCATGCTACCAACTTAACCCCGTTTTTTCCGAAGTATTCCGTTTTTAAAGACAGAGCCAACTACAAAGAGTTTATCTTCTCTTGCCATCATAGGCATCCGAGCACCTTGGTCCCTTTTATCCCAGTTTTGACCATTGGGACAGCCATGGCCACTTTGTATAATTCACAGCCGTTTACAGGATATTAAGATAGGACTGAAATTATGAACAACCTAATCATATGATTGGATTTTCAAACTGAAATTCTAATTTTGTTGACGGAAATTGACTCTAAAATTGAACAACATAGAAAAAAAAGTAGATCGATCTCTTTGATGTAGCTCTAATTTCATATCAACCTAATTCACTGCGAAACTCACTGCGAAACGTTGCGAAACTTTGAAAAAAAATCTCCTGTGAAAGCTGAAAATTTTTGAAAGAATTCAAGGAAAGAAAACTGATAACAATTGAAAAACAACGAAAAAAAAAGATAAATTCAGCAAAAGTTTTTTCTTTCGAAGCGAGTTGTGCGCCAAGACCGCTTCCGTGTCAACAGCCCGTTTGACGCGTTTCGACGATAGTCGCCAAAAGTAGGTGGAGTCATTAAACAAGAGACTTTTCACTTGTCTCCAGAACCATCATTTATTGTCTCCTGTCATCTAATATTCTGATAAGAAGAAACTCATAAAAGGGAAATTTTGATATCAAACTTTCCCAACGTCGCCGTTTCCATGGTTAGTTTTACTATTCTTTTCTTTGTGATTTTACTTTCTGCCAATGAGTCATCACTAATTTTTACATGTCTGTTGCGAGAAACATACAGTTTTTCTATGTTTGGAACTATGTGAATTGTCCAACTGGCCAAAAAAGAAATACTATTTGTCTAGTAGAAATTGTTCATCAGCCAGCATTTCTCTTCCATACTTCATCAAAATATTGATTTTACGATATGAGAAACTGAGAAAAAGAAAAAGCACCAAGCAAAACCTTAAATTTTCTATTAAAACTTTTTTTTAAATCACCAAAATATTTTCTAGACTCATGTTAGATAAACTTGAATCGCCAATAATCTCTAAATTGATAAATTTTCCAGCATTAAAAAAAGATACGCTTTTCTTATCGTCTCTCCCTCCTCCCATCTGATACTGTATCAGTTTTTTTTTCTTGTTCTTTAAAAATTGTTCGAGCTGTCAATGAATTCAGAACCTGTTGAATTTAAGACGGACAACGTCATGTGATTCCATCTTTGCGCAAAAACCGAAAACCGGTTCTTTAAAACGAACACTGTGAAAGGATTTGATATAAACTTCTGAACTTTTAAGACATCTTAAATAGCTTTAAATGTTTTTCCAGCTTATTTTAATGCATTTTGTTTAATATTTTCAATTGTATCTCTTCTCTCTCGCTCCCTCTCAAACTTGAATGAGTGTAAAAATCAACAGAGGAGGCCACGAAACGCCTCTGCATAATTAGCTGTCACAGTGAACAGGTGAAAAACAATTTTATTGTTTTTTTTCGGTTAGATTTTTTTATGCTCAAGAAAAATATCTTATCTCACACATTCCCAAGCTTTTCTTCTTGCGAAATGGAGTCTATGAATTTGAGAAACTTTTGAAGTTTTTTCCTCAGAATTTGAAATTTCATAATCTCCATCCTCATTGCAAGTTTGTTGTTCTTCCTCTTCCCTCTTTCTATCATTCCATTTCTCCTATCTTTCTCTCACCTCAGTGTTTTCCCAATCCATAATTAGCATAAGAGGTGTCCAAGGACGCCTCGGCGAGATCGCAATATCCACACTTCCCTTCACCCAAAAGTTTTGGTTTCTTTTGCGAGTGGTGGAAGATAAATATTTGGAAAATACTCATGAACTGCATTCGCTCATTTACTGAAAATTTCATTGACTTTGACTGATTTGGCCTAATGATTAAAATTCGAAATGTTTAAAAAACGACTTTCCTGCTTCTTTGAAATTAAGCCCCTACCTTGAAATGAACACAAGTGTGTAGAATCCGTTATCGAAATGAGTTATGACAGTGGTATTCAGTATCAATGCCTTTTCCGGCTTAGGTTAAAACTCCATAGTTAGCAAGATGGAAGGTGCACATAATGCGGATCCTACAAAG